CCCACTGATTCTTCATCACTGCCTGTTTAGCCCCGCCCACAGATTCTACATCACTGCCTGTTTAGCCCCACCCACTGATTCTTCATCACTGCCTGTTTTGCCCCGCCCACTGATTCTACATCACTACCTGTTTAGCCCCGCCCACCGATTCTACATCACTGCCTGTTTAGCCCCGCCCACCATTTTGCACATGTAGTGTTTGAGAGAGAGGCGAACGCGCAGGTCTACGCAGAAACCAAACGATAAAGATGCTCTGAGAACAAGAGGACCCTGTTCAGTGTTTGCGTTTGTTTCCTTCTGATCCCAACGTTAGGAAAGAGTGAATAAACTTTATTTTTAATGAAGATCTTGGTCCTTTGTTCACTTCATTTTACCAGGGATTCATTTACTATTCGACAAGGCACTATTCGACACAGGATTTTCGAAAAGATTGAAACTAAAAGACGATGCTGTGCCGATTATATTGGATCCAACAGTAATGTTGCAACACAAGTGTGAATAACTGTTTTTATTATGTGATCACTATTGCTTTGTCTGTTGTTACAGATCGTTTGATATGAGTATTTATGCATTTTTGACCTAAATCAAACCTGAATGCATGCTGTCAAACATACACAACTGTTAGCCAATCACAGCAGTGGGTGTTTACTTTTGAGTCTACAATCCTCCACAGCTACTCAAACAGAGCGTTCTGATGAGGGGGTTAAAAACTGGACAGAAAATAGCTTACTTCTTCTAAATTATGTTTTTTGATGTAAAAATTTTGATTACATTATAAGTGGACCTCAGAGAACAGTACAGCATAAAAAACAAAGGCAGTTTATGACCCCTTTATTTTTAACACGTTACTCCAATCAATCAAAATACTCTGGACTGTCTCCTGTAAAATTTGAACAACAGTGATCTTTACACAGCAACGAACTGAAACATCTGACATGCCATGTTTAATTGCAATTTAAAGGCGGAATATGTGTATTTACACAACAATTGCATAATTTAAAAAGCCTACAGTAAAAATATTAATTGTTATAAATTTTAAATATATAAATTATTCAATAAAACAGGAATTTGTTACACGGTAGAACTGCAATATTTAGGAAAAAAATACTTTAATTGCATTGTAGTAATAATGACTGTTAAGGTTAATTATTAGAAAATATACTGTAACAATGCTTTTGTGAAACAGCATGTCACATTCTGGCTACACAGACAAGACAAACTAAGAACTGTTTATGAATTAATTTAATGCATTTTACGAATTAGACAATCAAGACCTCACATTGGTTGCTATAGTCAGTGTAAACTTGAATAAGCTGGCAAAATTCAAACAATTTGAAGTAATCAGTTAAGTAAAGAAATGCAAAGTTGAATTAAGTGAAACTGGCAGATTTATATTTTACATGTTAATCACTTGTTAAGCTAACTCGAACATTTAATTAAACATTTTAAGTTTGGGAATCCCTGCATCACATGTATATGAAATGATGTGAATTTATGCATTTTAATGTGTTTGAAAGACAAAAGCCTTCCAAAGATATAGTAATGCATAGTTAAATAACCCACTGAATGATAATTGAACAGTATAGGCTATTTTAGAAATGTAAAAGATGACAAAGAAGAATTAAAGAGAATAAATAAATTGCTATTATCTTGATAATATGTAATCATGTAATCATTAAAAAAGAAACTGTAGTCTGATTACAAGTATTTTAAAATGTAATCTAATTACAAGTACTTAATTTTTGGAATCTGATTACGTAATCCAGATTGCATGTAATCAGTTACTACCCAGCTCTGTATAGAAGTATATATTATATACAGAAAGGGACCAAAAATTATTTGCCATCATTTATTTAGCATGAGTTAAAAAACAAAACAACTTGTTATAATCACTGAGGCTGTCTACACTGTAGAGAGAATGTATCTCTTACTTGCATCATACGTTCATCATTACATTCATTTGGCATTTTGTTTCTTTAGGGCAGTTAATTCATCAGTGTTAGTGGTTTTCAGCACACAGATGCTATTCTAACTGTACTGCACAAAGATGTGGTCATGTCTTGTTTTCTCGTGGCCGTTTGCCTTTAGGGGAAGTTTTTGCAGCTCAGTTGTATTTGGAGAGGTGTATGCTGCTCTTGGACCCACTTAGCCAATGTGATCCTTTCTGGATACAAACATCGTAAGCCCAGGCAAAACATTGGAAAGTGAATGAGTTCTGGAATGTTTGCGCGGCGTTAAAACGGCACTCCTGACTGAACCGGGATCAGTGGCGTAAAGCCCTTGATATGGTGTGGAAACACAAATGTGCGCTGGGGAGATATGAGCATCGCTGTTCAAATATACTTCACCACGTGCAAAAAGACAAGCAGCAGAACCAGATCCTAATCCTCTGAAAGCTATTGAGAAACTCTTGATAGCTATTTGCTACAAATAACGTGGGCTTGGAATAAATAACAGGCCTGAGCCTTGAGAAAGCAGCGCTTGCCTATTTGGCTGGTCACACTTCTTAACTAGCTTAACCAGCAAGGGTTTTATGTCTTTTTATATTTATATTTAGGCACCGTTTACAGATCTTCAAAACTAATTTCATGCATTTATGCATAAAGCTTTAGATCAAAAGGTTTTTAAGATCATGAGGAACATAAATGCGGTCAAATACAAAAACAAAATGCATTTTTGCTTTTAGCTCATTTGCAGTTCGGTTAAATTGTCATGTGGTGTGATTAATGAATTTTTCACATTTTCATTATACAAATAATTGCATTTTGTCTCTCAATCAAAAATGCATGAAAATATTATACAAGATATCCTATATATGCTATTTTATAATATTAATATTTGTAAAGGAATATTTTGCTTACCATTTCCTGCTTTGTTTATTTGCATTTCATTAAAGTTGCTCTGCGGTGTGACAAATGAATTTTTCACACATATTCATATTCAATATATTCCATTTTGTTTTAGAAGTTTGTATTAAAATTATTAAAAAAAATACATAAGTATTATGCAAGATACTGTATATATACTATTTTATAATATTATAAAATATTTTAAGGTCACAATTGTCACGAATCCGGTCCATGAACTTCCAATTTCATTGACTCTCGCACTACACACTGTTGCACATCACCCCGGACTACATTTCCCATCATGCATTGCACTGATTGCACTCAGCACGGATTGCACCCAGCTGTTTCATATCACTCCCTCACTATTTAACACTCACTCTGATCCCTTCCGTCGGCCGAGTATTGTCTAGCGATTATCACTCTCCTAGCGATAGCTACTCTACAGAGCCCTAGCCCTAGCCCTAGCCCTAGCCCTAGCCCTGTCTGTCTCCTTCGGTTTTGCTCTTCGCCTGTTTTCCTGGACTTCTCCCTTTAGCCTTGCCCCTGTGACTCTGTTTGCCTATCGTCGACCCACGCTAGCCCTAGGATTATTCTTGTGTCTTGCCCGCCATATTCCTGGTTGCCACTGTTTACCCTGCCTGTCTTATGACCATGTCTCTGTCTTCTCCAATTAAAGCTTTGCATTTGGATCTGAACGTCTCATGTCTCGTCAGCCCCGTTACAACAATCACTTGCTTCTACTTTATTTGCAGTTTGCTTAAATTAAATAAATGTACATTAATTTATCATACTACAGGACAATGTACAAATATTCAAATTTGTCTCTTAATAAAATGTAAAAAATAATAGTATAAAATAAAAATATAAACAAAGATTTTTTTATAATATTATATCTTATTTTAATAGAATACTTGAACGTCGTGCTTTTAGCTTATTTGGATTACATTTTAATTGTCCTATGACAAATGAATATTACACATATATTCAATGTATAAATATTGCAGTTTTTTCTCAGAAATAAACAGCCTGTTTTGATACTGTACCTTTAAGATGATGTAAATTACCTCTGTTTTTATTGGCTAAACTTCTCGCAAAAGTTGTTGAATTCTGATTAGGTGTTGATATGCAAAAATGCATATCTATCTATCTATCTATCTGTCTATCTGTATCTGTCTGTCTGTCTGTCTGTCTGTATCTATCTGTCTGTCTGTCTGTCTGTCTGTCTGTGTCTGTCTGTATCTGTCTGCCTGTATCTGTCTGTCTGTCTCTATCTGTCTGTCTGTATCTGTCTGTATCTGTCTATCTATCTATCTGTCTGTCTGTCTGTGTCTGTCTGTATCTGTCTGCCTGTATCTGTCTGTCTGTCTCTATCTGTCTGTCTGTATCTGTCTGTATCTGTCTATCTATCTATCTGTCTGTCTGTCTGTGTCTGTCTGTATCTGTCTGCCTGTATCTGTCTGTCTGTCTCTATCTGTCTGTCTGTATCTGTCTGTATCTGTCTATCTATCTATCTGTCTGTCTGTCTGTCTGTCTGTCTGTCTGTGTCTGTCTGTATCTGTCTGCCTGTCTGCCTGTATCTGTCTGTCTGTCTCTATCTGTCTGTCTGTATCTGTCTGTATCTGTCTATCTATCTATCTGTCTGTCTGTCTGTCTGTGTCTGTCTGTATCTGTCTGTCCGTCTGCCTGTCTGTCTGTCTCTATCTGTCTGTCTGTCTGCCTGTATCTGTCTATCTATCTATCTATCTATCTATCTATCTATCTATCTGTCTATCTGTCTGTCTGTCTGTCTGTCGTTCTATCTATATGTCTGTCTATCTATCTATCTATCTATCTATCTATCTGTCTGTCTGTCTGTCTGTCTGTCTGTCTGTCTGTCTGTCTGTCTGTCTGTCTGTCTGTCTGTCTGTCTGTCTATCTATCTATCTATCTATCTATCTATCTATCTATCTATCTGTCTATCTGTCTGTCTGTCTGTCTGTCGTTCTATCTATATGTCTGTCTGTCGTTCTATCTATCTGTCTTGTCTGTCGTTCTATCTATCTGTCTGTCGGTCTGTTTATAGCTATGCATAGATTTAGACTGTTGTCACACTGCAGGGCAATCTAAGCAGACTGCAAATAATATAATATATAACAATCTGATTATATTTGTGTATATTAATATTTAAATGTATACATGCCAGCATTCAAAAGTTCATAGTTGGTAAGATTTTGTTAATGTTTTTGAAAGAGTCTCTTATGCTCACCAAAGTTGAATTTATTTGGTTAAAAAAATCAGTGAAATCAGTAAAATTGTAAAATATTATTACAATTTAAAATAACTGTTTTCTCTGCGGATGTATTTATCTGTCGGCCTCATTTGCACAATGGCGCCGACGCTGATGGCTGCCTCCGTGGCGTGCTCTGCAGTTGTTTTTATGTTTTTGTCAGTTTGTCCTGTCTTTAGTTATATCCCTGCAATCAGTTTCACCAGAGACGAATTGCTGGACATTCGGAAGTACACACCACCCGATATTTCACCGGTTTTCGACTATTCGGATGTTTTGCTGGACATTGTTGTCGGGGGAGCTGTGGCGCTGATCAAGCGCTTCAGGACGCGCAGACGGGGGAAGCGAGCCGGCGCGCTCGTGAAGCTCAGACAGCACGGATTCAGAACGCCGTTGCCTAGCATCCATCTGGCGAACCTCCGCTCTCTACCCAACAAAACGGACGAACTTCTTCTGCTCTCCCGGACAAATAAGGATTTTTCAAACTCTGCTGCTCTGTGTTTCACGGAAACCTGCTGAGCGAATCATTGGTACAACCCTCCCTTCTCTCCAAGAACTGTACTTGTCCAGAGTGAGCAAAAGGGCTGGCAGAATCACTCTGGACCCCTCACATCCAGCACACTCCCTCTTTGAACTGTTGCCATCTGGTCGACGCTACAGAGCTCTGAGCACCAGAACGACCAGACACAGGAACAGTTTTTTCCCTCAGGCCATCCATCTCATGAACACTTGACAATAACTGTGGAACACACACTATTTATTCACTCATACACTTATTTATCTAACACACACACTCAGTCTACATTTCAATTTGCACATAATACATACAACCATACAACTGTCTATTGTTATATACCTGTACATACAATTGTCGATTTGTATATTTTTATTCCTTAGTTACTTGTTCTATTTTTCTATTTTTTATTATCTGTGTTTTTGTTCTGTCACTGTCATTCTGTTACACTGTGGAGCTTCTGTCATGAAAACAAATTCCTCGTATGTGTAAACATACCTGGCAATAAAACTCATTCTGATTCTGATTCTGATTCTGTATTGTAATATGTGATTTATTCCAGTGATCAAAGCTGAATTTTTAGCATCATTACGCCAGTGTTCAGTGTCACACGATCCTTCAGAAATCATTCTAATATGCTGATTTGCAGCTCAAGAAACATTTCTGATTATTATCAATGTTGAAACCGTAATGCATTTTACTTTTCAGGATTCTTTGCTGAATAGAAAGTTCAAAAGAACAGCATTTATTTGAAATATAAATCTTTTGTAACATTCGAAATGCCTTTACTGTCACTTTTGATCAATTGAATGCAGCCTTCCTAAATAAAAGTATGAAGACCCCAAATCTTTTGGCTTCAAAAGAGCAACAGTTATCTATGATGTCAGCTCTTTAATTTTTAATGTGACTGTTCTTGCAGATATCGATGAGTGTGCCAGTGAATATAATGGAGGATGCGTTCACGAGTGCATCAACATCCCCGGAAACTACAGATGCACGTGCTACGACGGCTTTCGCTTGGCCCACGACGGACACAACTGCCTGGGTAAGCCATCGCTGCTTTACGTTTGGGACAAACAAATAAAGCGTGTGTGATGATCTGCGTCCTCTCAGGACTTCATCCCACTCTAGACAAACAAACATTATTGCTGGAACCCAACTTCTAACGGTTGATACTCAGACGTGTCTAATCAAACTCCACACCGACCGCGACTGAGGCCCAGAACGCGTCACTCTATCCTCTGTGTCAAAACCAAGCGGTTTGTGCGGTTAGCCGATAGAAGAGGGCGATAAATCCGTCAGATTTGGGCTGTGACTGCTGAGTACACGGTTCTGTGGTATTAATTGTATTTTCAGACCGCGTGAGCTCACGTTTTTGACATTCGGTGGCTCGTATGTCCAGCCGTTGCAGGTCAGTTGTATCAATCTGAAGGGAATGTGTGTGTTTGTGTGCGAGATTTACATCGGGTTACAGTCTTATACTGACCTCGGCACTTTAACTCAAAACAGATGTCCGGCACGTCGAACTATCAGTCCAATGAAGATGTGAAATAGCTGCTTTGCTGTGATCAGTGGTTTTTCACTGAGTGTTTGTGTGGGTTATGTGGGTTTTACTCGTGCAGAACACTGCTATTTCAGACCTTCACAGACATTTAAAGGTCCCTTCTGCCAGTTTTTGAAACACATTTTCGAATATTGAGGTTTTCTCTGGCAGAGCTCGAAGCAATCTGATTGTTATCTGAATGACAGTTGAATTCGAGAACCGACTCCCATTTTGCTCTTTTTTTTATTATCAAAACGAATTTTTTATTATTTATTATTTTAATTTTTGGGGGGAATAAGTTGGTATATGTTTTATACTGTTTGGACAACTTTCTCCAAACTTTATCAATAAACAATGTCACCACGTTTTCAGATTTCACTTTTTTTCTTTTTTTTTTACTTTATAAAAATAAATATTAATATTAAATTCATATTTGAGACAAATATTAAATATGCTAAAGGAAAATTTGGGATAATTTAGATCATTAAGGCTCATTAAAATTACTATTCAGTGAATGTTACATTTAATTACATATATAAATGAACTTCAAATTAGCTAAAAGTAGGAAACAGTGACCTTTAAATATTTTTTCAAATATTATTTAAAATTATAAATAAAATAATGGAATGTGAGGTATTGTATTAAAATACTATATAATATTATTAAATAGTTGTTGTTATTATTATTATTATTATTATCATCACTATTATTAAATAGTGATAACATAATATACAGAGTATATATATATATATATATACACAAATATTAAATTCATATTTGTCACAAATATTAAGTGTGTGTGTGCGTGTGTGCAAAAGAAAGATGTAGTGTAATATTCTACTAATATTAATATAACTATTAAATACATTATTTTAAAGTTCAATTTGGAATATTTTTTTTTTCATATTTTATATTAGACCAAATATATTCGTTTTTTTCTGACAATACTCTATATGTTCTGAATATGATAGCATGTTTTTTTTTACTAATTAGTATTGAAAATATACTGTATACTAAAAAGAAATATTTCTATGAATGTAATACTCTATTATGAATAGAAATATTAAAAATAGTGTTATACAGTGAAATTTGCAATGCAGTATTTTAGTATTTTACATTAGACCATATATAGTCATTTTTTTCCTGAGAGTACCTTATATGTTGTGTATATGATAGCATGCTTGTCCAGTATTTAATATTGAAAATATATATATATTACATACTCAGATTGCTCTGAAATGCTCTTGCTTCATCTCGTCACACACACGAATGCTTTGTTCCAATGCATTTAGCGCAAGTCTCATGTTTAGCCGTGGATGATTTGCGCAGCTGCATGGATGAGCTGTACCGCTGTATGCGCCTCTGATCGTCTATATCTGCTCATCATACACCCTTCACGAACTCTTTTCTAACTCTGCGTTCTGTTCTTCACAAATGAACGCTTTACACAGATGAACTGTGGCTAAAATAAACAGCCCACTTCTGCAGTATCTTTAATCTATCGACTCTCAGTCTCTCTCCTCCCCCCGAGGTTTCTTTAGGATACTAAGTAACTTTTGCTCCAAGGTTAGTGTGTTCTTGGTTTGAAGGCTAAAAATAACAGGTCGCTTTGTTTCCATGGTGTTTTCAGTGGGAAGGAAAGTCGAAAATCTTGTAATCTATGCAGAAAAGACACATTTCGCTTTAGTCATGAGGGTTTGGATCTTATTTTCGCTTCCATGTAGAGCTCAGATTGTAAATGACATTTGAACTTGCTCTTTGCTCACATTTCTAATTATTATTCAATAAAACAATTGTATGGTACTGTATGTACTTGATTTGAGTACGTGTCTTGTCTTCTGTCGGTAACGGAGTGGTGTTATGGGGAATGCTGATGAAGGAAGACGGTGTTGATTTTGTCTGTTTATTTCATGCGATCAGAGCGCAGGTTTAACATTGATTCACAGAAACTGAGAGAAACAGCCGACTGATTGCAGAGCTTGTATTGATGTTCCTCCTGTTTTGTCTTCAACTCATACAGCCTGTATTCAAGCTTTTTGTAGATAATTTTAGCCTTAGCTGTGTTTTTTTAAAGAAATTGTATGATTAGAGTTTGAAAAGCTCCCACTTAGGGTTTTTTTTTTATGTTAAGCATTTAAAATTTGATATTGGCATATTGAATTGCAGTTGTTCTTCTTTTCATGTATTTTACTAGCTTATTTTATGTTTTAGCTAACAGCCAAAATGGCATTTCTGGCAATCAATTATTTATTTAATATCCATTATTATTTAGGATTGAGTCAGTATTATTATTTATTACATATTTTAGAGTTTATTTGTTCATTTAAATTTATTTTGGGGGGGTAAACAATGGGACACAAATTCAAAATTGTTCATCAAATGAAAACTGCATAATATTTTCATATTTAATTGCAATTAATGTATTGAACCATTTACACACTATACGCTAAAAAAGAGGCACAGAAGTCCAAGTTTAAGGTTTTTTTTTGTGATGACATTTAATAATAATATATACATTATATTTATATATATTTTGCATATTTCTATATTTTCATAATATGTAACTTTATATATATATATATATATATATATATAAATTAAATATTTGCGGAAGCACCTGACTGGGGGTAATGGTTAGAATAAAATAGCAGGTTGATTGAATTGCTTCAGTAAGCTCTTGTCCTTTAGACATCCTTTAGACATATGATGATGTTGATTCAATATATATATATATTCAATGTATATATATATATATATATATATATATATATATATATATATATATATATATATACAAAGCATATTTTATATATATATATATACGTTAGTGGTCAAACGATTAATCACAATTAATCGCATTTAAAATAAAAGTTTTTGTTTGCATAATATGTGTGTGTTCTGTGTATATTTATTATGTGTATATATAAATACACACACATACAGTATATATTTTGAAAATATTTATATGTCTATATTTATATTCATATAATTTATATTATACACAAATATATTTAATATATAAACATAACCTACAGTATTATTCTGAAATTTATACATGCATGTGTGTGTATTTATCCATACATAATAAATATACACAGCACACATACATATATCATGTAAACAAAAACTTTTATTTTGGATGCGATTAATCGCGATTAATCGTTTGATAACTCTATATGTACATAGATAGATAGATAGATAGATAGATAGATAGATAGATTCTCCTAAGTATCTTAAATAGAAAGCCATAAAAAAGTACTGCTGGAAGATTGAGAAGTAACCTCATAATCGACTGATCGTCTTGAACATTCAGCGAGTCACAGAGGAAGGAAAGAGAGTGAAAAGGGAAGGAATAGAGGACGAGGAATAAGAGAAGGAAAGAGAGAGAGAGAGAGAGAGAGAGAGAGTATTTATCCATACATAATAAATATACACAGCACACATACATATATCATGTAAACAAAAACTTTTATTTTGGATGCGATTAATCGCGATTAATCGTTTGATAACTCTATATGTACATAGATAGATAGATAGATAGATAGATAGATAGATAGATAGATAGATAGATAGATAGATAGATAGATAGATAGATAGATAGATAGATAGATTCTCCTAAGTATCTTAAATAGAAAGCCATAAAAAAGTACTGCTGGAAGATTGAGAAGTAACCTCATAATCGACTGATCGTCTTGAACATTCAGCGAGTCACAGAGGAAGGAAAGAGTGTGAAAAGGGAAGGAATAGAGGACGAGGAATAAGAGAAGGAGAGAGAGAGAGAGAGAGAGAGAGAGAGAGAGAGAGAGAGAGAGAGGTAATTCTTCAGCACAGGAATCCTCTCAGGAGGTTTTTAAAGAAATGTTTTAAGTGCAAATAGCATGAGCTCTGCTCCGGGTTTCACCAGAATCCTGTTCCTTTTCCAAATATTTGCTTTGGACGCGAGCCGCGATCTGCACAGAACACATGTCGCTAACGCCGTCCGCTGACCGGCACAGCTTCACCAAACTCAGCAGCGGCAGGAAATCAGGGGTTTGTTTATGCTGCGGAAGCAAGGTGTTTGGGGTTTGAAGCGCGAGGCTCTCGCACATGCAAAGATACTAAAGCAAGCTCTGTGCAAACAGACGGCTGTTACCATAAATGCTTTCCAAACGCTTAGAGCCCACAGATACGTTAGTAGCAAATATGGATGCTTTTGATGCACATTTTCACTTAGTGTGTTCTGAAATGTGTCAATACACAATTTATAATGCAATGCAAGTGCGCATTTCATTCTCAGCATTGGTAAATTGTTGTAAAATTGTCATCTGTTTTCTTTCATGTCAATTACTGATATTGTAGAGCATATTTGTTACCTTAAAAAATAAGATAATAACTGATCAGATTTCCTGTCACAATCATTTGATGGAACTCCACCCCATGATTTTACTGCTACAATAATAAAAATGCACATTATGACAATGCATTTTTCTTTTTGTACTTGCATGGAATACATTTCAGGTGCTAAATTCTGTAGCCACACCCACATGACATCTGATTGGTTCAGAATCCTACACCACACATTAAATACCCAGTATTTATTTATTTATTTTATCATATTTAATAATAAATATTTAGGACATTAAAAACATTTAATCCAATTAATTACATGATATGTTGTTTAATTAATGTAATCATTTATTTGTTTACTATTTATAAAGATGATGATGATGATGATTAGTTTATTGCTTTGTATTTCAGTTAATGTATTTATTTGATACATTTCAATATAACAAAATTTTATTTATTTGTTATTTTATTGATAACAAATAATTTAAAAGGAAATAATTAGGTCTGACAATTGAAAGGCTTGATCAAATTAATTACATTATATCCTGTTTAATTAATCTATTAATCATTTGTTTATTTTGTATTTATGATGATTTGTTATTAATTTTATATAAATTTATTAGTAGTAGTAGTAGTAGTAATTTGAATTTATTGCATCATTTAATGTATTTATTCACCAGATACACACACACACACACACACACACACATAGATATTGATATATCTCACTATACACTATATCTCGTGAATAAATAAATACACTCAGTTTTTTTTTTGCTCCTCCCAAATATTCATTGTTTAAGATTTACTGATAAAATTTCATGTTATGACAATGCATTTTCTTTGCATGCTTGCATAGAATACATTTCTGGTCTTTGTCATTTTTATGTTTAGTAGCCACGCCCACAATAACATCTGATTGGTTAAAAATTCTGCATGTTTAGATTAACTTTGTCATTTCGTACGGTATTTTCACTTTCAGCAAGGACAGAATTTGATGCTGATAACATCATGTCGCAATTGGTAAATGGTGGGAATGTGTGTTGTGTGTTGTGTGTTGTGTGTTGTGTGTTGTGTGTTGTGTGTTGTGTGTGTGTGTGTGAGAGAGAGAGAGAGAGAGAGAGAGAGAGTGAACACGAGCGCTGGGAAATGGTTATATTCCCCCCTCAGCTTGGCTGAAAATGGCCTAGATTGGAAACTCTATCCCAAGGCCTCAGTGCATTGGACAAACAGACAGAAAATTTGTTTCGCATTAGGGTTTATTAAGCGTGAGCTTGTGTATACAGCAGGCTGACTCTGATGAGACGTATCTGAGAGAGAGATCAGGTTGCAGTCTCATCCTCAGAGCGGCAGACGACACACAGAAACGAACTGTCATCGAAAAATAAAACAAAATGACAGGAGGATTCAACAGAGTCTGACATTATTTAAAGAAAATCCAGGATTCATTTATTATGATTTTACAGTAGTAACTAAATATAATATTTTGGTGATATCATAGTAACCACAGTACAGTTTTAAAATAGGCTTAAAATCTGCATCAATCAAAAACAGACTAATCTCTGACTATAATCAAATAATTCAGACGTCATGTTGATTTAGGATCAGTCTGAGTTCAGGAAAGGGCCCTGATGTTATTTAACAGCATACTGCAGGTTGAAATGTATTGGCTTTTAATCAGCCGTTGAATGATCAGTTTGTGTAACGATCCATAAATCCCAAAAGATGATGAGTCTATCAACACAAGCGGCTTTGTTTTTCTATCACGGTGAGACTTTGCATCGACTTCTATTTTTTTTGTATACTGAACTAATGATATGTTCTGTCCCCTAACCCTCATGCTATGCTCTCTGCATTTTAAGACATTACTTAATATGTTTATTAAGCTGTTTCATTGCAAAGCAGAGGTGCCAACAACATCAACACCAAATGAACTGATGCAAGTTCACACAAGCAGGTCCACAGTAATTGTAAGCCAGAGCATATACAGACAAAACTCACACAGACTGGCAGAATAAGAAACTGCATGAAATCACCAGGATGTACTGATTAATGATCTAACGGCGTCTGTTTCTGAGGCGAGTCACATGTCAACATCACTAATGGACATCAGAGCTGCGAGAATGTGAGCAAAAAACATGAGAAATGTAGCTGTTGACTGTTTAGACTGAGGAAGAAAACAAACAGCGGGAGCGGTATGTTCAGATTCATGAGGTTATGCCCTGTAATTCGCTTTTTATTAAGGTTTTGTGCACAAAAGTGAAAATGTTTCACTCTACTTTCTATATGCATATGAACTGTCTTATGATTGGCTGCTCCCTTTGCATGCGAAATGAATAACAACACAATCAAATTTGTAGTTGTGATGATTTCTGAACAAGCCATTTTTGCAGTTTCGTTTCAATAAATGTTTTGTATTGTTATAATTTAAATATTAGTTATACTGTATATTTCAGTTTTTTTTTTAAAGAAATTAATACTTTTATACACCAAGGATACATTACATTGCTCAAAAGTGACCATTTTATTCCAAATAAATACTGTTCTTTTGAAGTTTCTAGGGTTGAAAAAAATATTCAAACCAAAGCTTTGTGGTGTATCACAAAAACGTTACAGTATATTTATTGAAATATGTTTTTTTTTTATTTGTATTAAATTTGTTGTCAGACTCAACATTTACTTTGAAATGTGAGATGTAAAGTCAGAATTGCGAGTCGTAAAGTCACAATTGTGAGATGTAAAGTCAGAATTACGAGACGTAAAGTCAGAATTGCAGGACAAAAAGTGAGAATTGCAAGATGTAAAGTCTAAATTATAATATAAAGTCAGAATTGTGAGATGTAAAGTCAGAATTGCAAGACATAAAGTCAGAATTGTGAGATGTAAGATGTAAAGTCTAAATTATAATATAAAGTCTAAATTGCGATATACAAAGTCAGAATTGTGAAATGCAAAGTCTAAATTGTGAGATATAAAGTCAGCATTGTGAGATGTAAAGTCAGCATTGCGAGATGTAAAGTCAGCATTGCGAGATGTAAAGTCAGAATTGTGAGATGTAAAGTCAGAATTGTGAGATGTAAAGTCAGAATTACAAGACATAAAGTCAGAATTGTGAGGCGTGAAGTCAGAATTGTGAGATATAAAGTCAGCATTGTGAGATGTAAAGTCAGAATTGTGAGGCGTGAAGTCAGAATTGTGAGATATAAAGTCAGAATTGCGATATATAAATTCAGAATTGTGAGATGTAAAATCTAAATTGTGAGACGTAAAGTCAGAATTGCGAGATGTAAGATGTAAAGTCTAAATTATAATATAAAGTCAGAATTGTGAAACTTGAAGTCAGAATTGTGAGATGTAAAGTCAGAATTGCAAGACATTAAGTCTAAATTGCAATATATAAAGTCAGAATTGTGAAATGCAAAGTCTAAATTGTGAGATATAAAGTCAGCATTGCGAGATGTAAAGTCAGAATTGCCAGATGTAAGATGTAAAGTCTAAATTATAATATAAAGTCAGAATTGTGAGACGTGAAGTCAGAATTGCAAGACGTTAAGTCTAAATTGCGATATATAAAGTCAGAATTGTGAAATGCAAAGTCTAAATTGCGAGATATAATGTCGGCATTGCGAGATGTAAAGTCAGAATTGCGAGATGAATTTGTGAGATTAAAAGTTGCAGTTACTGTACCTTTTTTTTATCCCATGGCAGAAACAAGCTTCCATACTTTAAAGACTTCTTTCAGAACCAAATCTTACAACCCTAAACTTTGAATGGTAGCGGTATTGTACAGTATAGATATGTGCATATTAATAGGCATACTTGTAATCCCACAATTTTAATAATACGGCTATGTTTTTACTCATCTGTTTATCTGTGTCTCCGTCAGATGTTGACGAGTGCGCGGAAGGAAACGGCGGATGCCAGCAGGTCTGTGTTAACATGATGGGGAGTTACGAGTGTCGGTGCCGCGACGGATTTCTCCTGTCCGACAACCAGCACACCTGCATCCAGAGACCCAAAGGTGAGAGCCTGATCACATCACACCACTAACATGCTACTCTTACTGTCCCTGCAGGATATATAGTATGAAAACTGGGCATGCTGGGCACAGTATGTAGATTTTGAATGGCATAATAGATTTGTTTACGGTGCAGTATAATTCAGAGTACACTGCTGGATATCTCATAATGCAATGCGCTCAATTTGATGAATGATCTGGAAAGTGTTTAAAGGGGTCATATGATGCATTTTTAAAGATCATTATTTTGTGTATTTTGTGTAACAGAATATGTTGACATGCTTTAATGTTCAAAAAAACACATTATTTTTCAAATACTGTACATTATTGTAGGTCCTCTATGCCCCGCCTCTCTCAAACACTTTGTTTTCTACAAAGTCCCTCCTTCTGACAAGCGCAGTCTGCTCTGATTGGCCAGCTGACCCAGTGCATTGTGATTGGCCGAACACCACAAGAACTTGTCGGAAATGTAACGCCCCTTACCATAAGCAAGGGGGTCGCAAGCTTCATCTTTCAAAATAAATGTAAAGACAGAGCCCGAAAGGGGAACAGAGTCGCTTGACAGACACAGTGATGAAGCTGGTATGTGTTTGCAGTACACAGGCCACGGTTAAGACAGCTGACTCCACTGTGATCTCTCTCTCTCTCTCTCACACACACACGCGCACACACACACACACACACACACACACGATGTGCAAAACTCCGCATTTGAACAGTCAATAGCAAATACTTAAACTAATAACAAAACAGTAGCTGATTCAGAAGCGCCAGATTGTCATAGCAAAGTCAGAATGACCTCCTCTCCTAGGTTCACGAAACGGTCGTCCATAAAATGCATTGCTGTTCTGTTGTACGTAATCTTAAAGATTCCTAAATGCATCTACTTTCGGAAGACCAAATAAAGTGATTTTGCTTTCAACTGGAATCACACAGTGTCTCCCTGACATGCTGCTTCAACACTAACTGCGGTTACTGAAACCACGCCTTCTTTCTTTGCGTGCACATTTGGGCGGCATTATGTTAATATTTCCACATAGTGAGGTAGATATGTGGGGGCGTGTTAGAACGAGCCGTTTTGGGGGGGCGTGGCAGAGTCTTAACTTTGATAAAGAATATCTCTTTGGTTTTGAGACTTTAGTCTTTGCAACTTCAGGGATCTTATCTATGCACAATCAGCTTGTAACACTCCAAAGAGAAAGGAAAACTTGAAATGTGCTGTGATTGGTTAGCTGGACCAGTGTGTGTTGTGATTGGCAGCACTCGGCGCCTGGTCGGGAAATGCCACATCCCTTACCATAGCCGCCTGTGAGCTTCAGTGTAAATATTCTGTCAATATCAAATCAATTTGAGCACGATTTAAACCCGGATAATTGTAACCACTCTAAGTTCGTCTGTCTTGGGAAAGCTAGCGTGTCTCCGACATAGTGATAACACTCGTTGCCTTCTCTAGTGCAGCTCAACCAGGTCTCTTCCCATTCGTCGATATTTGTGATATCACAAATCCCGGAAAATATGCGTTGTAGTCAAAACTAGTTGTTCGTTGTAGTTTTTGAAAAGTGATTTCTGTTAAATAAAATATCTCCTTTTGAAGTGGACTTTGAGCTTTGTAACTTTGCAGAACTTTTTTATGCTCGAACAGTAACATTACACTAAAGTTGAAAAAGTGAAAAAACATAATAGCACCCCTTTAACATTTCGATTTTAATTAATTAACAAGAAATGAAGTTTTGATTCATTTAGCAAGTTCCGCGGCTAAAGTAAACAGTCTCATGAGAACGGTTCGTCACCCCACGGTAGAGAGGGGTGGGGTGAGCAGAGCTCATTAGCATTTAAAGGGACATGCACTAAAACGGCTTGCTGAAAACAGCTGTTTTTGACAGGGTAAAAAGGGTGTTGTTTTACACTACCATTGAGAAATTTTAACCAAAGTATGTTACAAACTTTTCATTAAGACCCTAAAGAATCATATCAACTTGTGGAAAATGGGCATCCGATGATCCCTTTAATTAAATAACTGGATGCCACTCAAATGCAATGTGATGGGATCATTTGACAATCAGTGATATTTTAGCATTATTTTTATATTATTATAGTATTTATTAATATTTTGAGTTTACTTTTATTTTATGTTTTTTTAAAGTGTAGTTTTTCAAATAATTTGTATTATATATTTTTTATATTTAGCCTTAAAATTAAAAATAAAAGTTATTAGTATTTAATTAGTATTTTTTTTGTTTCAATTCTTAAAAATGTTTTGGTTATTAAAAATTACCTCATAATAACTATTAAATTAGCATAATTAAATAACCACTCATATGCAGTGTCATGTGACAACCAATGATATTTTAGTATTATTTTTTATGTTATTATAGTGTGTTTTCATATTTTGAGTTGGCTTTTTATTGAAGTTTTTATTTTAATTTTAGTAAATTTATTTGCTTTTTTTATTTTTAATATACATATTTGTATATTATTCACTTTTTGTGTTTTAGTTTTTATTTCAGTTAGTGGTCAAGGCAACATTTCTCATTTACGTTTGAAGTTTTATTTTTTTCTTACTTTTTTAATTAAAGCTTTTTAGGTAACATTAACAACATTGCTGATGAAAATGTGAAATGCTATTGTTTCACTTGCTATTTTTGAAAGAATAATAGTCTTTATACTGTATTTGCTGCATAGTATTCAGTTAGTAATAAGAACGTATTTCATTCTGAACGCAGCCGTTATTTCTGTGCCGTTTACGTCGTGATTTAACAATGTCAGCGGAAAAGTGGCGTTCTCTTCAAAGCCCAATCTCAGGAGATGCTTTTGGCCGGCTGAACTTGTCAGTGTTTGCGTTTCATAAGCACACTGTTATTTGAGTCGTGGATCGTATGATTCAAACGCTGCCCCTCTGGATTCAAGGCCTTCATTGTTTCTATTCTGTTGGAAAGAGTTTGATAAATACCGTCGTAATCCCTCATATTTCATGTTAATATTAGTTTTATTGCTGCCAGATGAAAACCTCTTGGACGGAGAGGTTTAGACAGCGTAAATCCACAAACGCTTCGATGTGGAAACGCTGTACACTTCTGTTGTGATCGGCTGCGGATCTGTTTGCCATTACGCTATTGTTGCAGCACAATGTGCTTCAGATATCTGCGGTTTAGGAAGAGACGATGTTGGACAAGCCGACAGCGAGAGTGACGTAACTCATCGTTGACGGATAGCATGTGTAAACGACGGCACATGAGATGAGAGGAATCGGGTTTCTGTACACCGCTGATTTATTTCGCACTAAAGCAGGATTTTAGTTCGTCTGCCTTGGGAAAGCTAGCGTGTCTCTGACATAGTGATAACATTCATTGCCTTCTCTAGTGCAGCTCAACCAGCTCTCGTCCCATTCGTCCATATTTGTGATATCACAAATCCCCGAAAATATGCGTTGTAGTCCAAACGAGTCGTTCGTTGTAGTTTTTGAAACGGGATTTCTGTTAAATAAAATATCTCCTTTTGAAATCGACTTTGAGCTTTGTAACTTTGCAGATCTTTTTTATGCTCAAACAGCAACATTACAGACTAACTAAAGTTGAAAAAGTGAAAAAGCATGATAGGACCCCTTTAAACAAGCGCTGTGGTCTCTCAGATGGACGTGAAGCAGGAGGAAGTGAAGTGGTTTTCCGTCCGAGGCTGAGCACTCATTTCATGGGAAGCGCTTTCTTATCAAACAGACGAGTGCTGGAGAAGAGGGTTCTGCTGTTGTGTCACGGACGGCAGGGAAATGCGTCCCACAGTCAAAGGTCACGCATCCAATCAAACACTGCAGCGCACACTCAGCTGAACTCCACCTTCAGCCTCACGTCTTGCTCAGCATCCACTGCAAACTCACAAAATACTCTCTTTCCTGTGAAAATGTCACACTGCGGAAGTAAAATGCCCATTGTGTTGATTTGAATTCCCATCTTTTTTTGATTTGTCGGAAATCACTGTGACATTCTTCTCAAAGCTTTGTGACATTTTCTCATTTAGGGTTGTGAATTTGATTACTTGATGTACAGTATTTTGTTATGCCAATTTCTAGTCTCTGAGGGCGTTTGCATTTACATTTATGACATTTATGCCTTTGCTAAAATGTAACTTCTACCCGAGGCATTTTCTGTGTTGATAGCATTTTGTGCATGTAATTTCTCGGGGAAGCAAACCCATAATAATTACAAGTGTTTTAATTGTTTACCTGCATGTCACGTGAACCTTAACCAACATTAGAGAACTGCAACATGCAAATACGTTTTTTAATTATTGAAATATTGAAATATTATATACTTAATATTATTGTTATTTTTTAATTAATATGAATTAAAAGTAATATAAAAATATTTGAATGATATTAATAAACAACATTTAATTGTTACCTAAATATTGACTGTTTGTTTTTGATTTGTTACTTTGATTCTTAATATATAAATGTTTCTTTAATTCAAATATTTTTATTTAAAAAAAATTATAAGTACTGACCAGCATTAGAGAACTATTAAAATGCAAACCTGTTGTTAAATTATTATTATTATTATTATGGAATATTACCTTTTTAAATATTAATATTACTTAATAATGTTAACTTTTTAAATATTTGTAAAATATGAATATCAATTAAAGTTAACTATTAAATATGAACATTTAATAATAATAATAATAATAATATTTAAACACTAAATAATTCCTACACAATTTTTCTTTAATTCAAAAATGTTTGCAATCCAAAATGTCTACTGTTTGAAAGAACAGAAAGCACACTTCTTTTGTTTAAAATGTTATATTTTTATGTCATAATAAGTATAAATAAATAAATAAACAATAGGAATTGACATAAATAATTTATATAAGTTAATGATAATTTGTGAGAATATAAAGTATATATATAGTATATTTATCTATTTATTTTGTTTTTAATTTTTTTTGTTTGTTTGTTTGTTATGTGTGAGAAGCATTAATATTTTTGTTAATTTTTCATTGTGTGTGTGTGTGTGTGTGTGTGTGTTTAGGTTGAATTAAAGTCTAATTAGGCTCAACATAACCCCTTCATCAAAGCTATACCCAGAATGTGAGCTGAATATAAGGGTAGTGTGTAGAGTGATTCCTAGCGCTGCAGCGTTTCACACAGTCATAGTCTGTCAGCTCTGATGGGTTTAGTTAGTAATGCATCACAGTCGCGGTTACGAGTCTAACTGTGCTTCCCGTTTTCCCCTCTTTCTCACACCTGCACAGTACACATAGCTTTTAAAGTTCATGAATGTCAGCCCATGTGTTTTGTGTTGCAGTGCTCTGGCAAATGTTTACTTAGTAATAAAAGACTGCTTCCTTCGTCTTAAAGTGTCGTTTGTTTGAGACTCAGGTGACGCAGAGGCTCTCGCTGGACGGATGACTTACATGAGTATGAACACACACACACACACACACACACAGCTCTGGACTGTGCTGTTTAGTGGATGTGTTTCCATCATAGCAGGAATGTGAAGAAATTCAGAGACATTTTGTGTTCCATTTATGCTTTTTGGAGATTTCATGTTGACGTTAAGTCACATATTTACACGCTGATTAAAATGTCTGTGCATTTGCAATATGAAACCGCGTTTGTGGCATATTTAACTTCTGTAATGTGATGTTTTTTGAGTAAAAACAATATTCATTGGTGTTTTGAATGGAGAGGAGAGGGTGAAGGGTCTGTCAGCTCTGATGGGTTTAGTTAGTAATGCATCACAGTCGCGGTTACGAGTCTAACTGTGCTTCCCGTTTTCCCCTCTTTCTCACACCTGCACAGTACACATAGCTTTTAAAGTTCATGAATGTCAGCCCATGTGTTTTGTGTTGCAGTGCTCTGGCAAATGTTTACTTAGTAATAAAAGACTGCTTCCTTCGTCTTAAAGTGTCGTTTGTTTGAGACTCAGGTGACGCAGAGGCTCTCGCTGGACGGATGACTTACATGAGTATGAACACACACACACACACACACACACAGCTCTGGACTGTGCTGTTTAGTGGATGTGTTTCCATCATAGCAGGAATGTGAAGAAATTCAGAGACATTTTGTGTTCCATTTATGCTTTTTGGAGATTTCATGTTGACGTTAAGTCACATATTTACACGCTGATTAAAATGTCTGTGCATTTGCAATATGAAACAGCGTTTGTGGCATATTTAACTTCTGTAATGTGATGTTTTTTGAGTAGCTCTGGACTGTGCTGTTTAGTGGATGTGTTTCCATCATAGCAGGAATGTGAAGAAATTCAGAGACATTTTGTGTTCCATTTATGCTTTTTGGAGATTTCATGTTGACGTTAAGTCACATATTTACACGCTGATTAAAATGTCTGTGCATTTGCAATATGAAACCGCGTTTGTGGCATATTTAACTTCTGTAATGTGATGTTTTTTGAGTAAAAACAATATTCATTGGTGTTTTGAATGGAGAGGAGAGGGTGAAGGCTCTAAAATAGTGGTGATGTAATCTGGCATAATTTGTCCTGAATCGTTTGAACTACACTAAAGATCCTTGTTGAGAGAGGTACTTTCACCTTTATAAGTAATACGATTTATGATTTTCACCTAATGGACATTTAACCCGCCGGACTTGCATTGAAGAAGAGACCTGGGCCATGAAATAATTACATTTTGCCAAATGTTTCTTGCACAAAAATGTCTGGTCTTATTGTGCACAATTTCTGGCATGAAACGACAAGGGACAATTAATGCAAAAGCAAATAATAATTTTTATTTCATGTTGAAATCTGATTAAGGTGATTCAAGCAATTGTATATTTTTGTAATAATAATAATTATTATTATTATTACTGCTATTGTTATTAGTAGTAGTAGTAGTAGTAATATTACTTACAATTTATAAAGTAAATTAATATATATTTTCAATTTACAAATTAACATAATATTTTATTTAACATACATTTTTAGTTATTATTTTTAGTAATATAATTAATGTATACAATATTAATTAGTAAATCATATATTTATATAATATTAACAATTTACATATTTTCACATCTTCAGCTTTAATAATAATAATATCTTTTATTATTTTAATTCATGTTTAATTATTATTATTATTATAGCATCAAATACATTTTAATTATGACATTGATTTCCAACAATAATAAACATAAGATAAGTGAGATAAAATGCATATAGTGTTGCTTTTTTTCATAGTTTAGTAGTTTTCAGTAAGTAGTGAAAGTGCACTACAATTACTTATCATTTTAATAATTATAGTAACAAAATTATTAATAATACTTTTAGTCATTATTTTATTACTTATACTACTTATTTATTTATAATGCTCTTATTTGTTTATTTTATTTTGATATAGTTTTTTATGCATGTATTTATTTTGCTTTGTTTTATTTGTTGTACAGTTTTAGTTATTATATTATTTATTCATATTTTATTGATCTATCGTTTTTAAAGCCTGTGGTTCGTGCACAGATTTTGACCTTTGCGGCTACGTTCACCTTTTCCGCCGGATTACAACGACTGTCGTCAGCTGAGACGAGTGTTTTCAAGCGTTTTCCCAATTAACATATTTGGGAAATAAGTTTGCTCATTTGTCATTTAGCGTAAAACACATGTTCTGCGTTAACAAAAGGTATTTTCTTTTTTGACAAATGCTCAGTGAAATGAGGTGTTTCTGCTGGTTGTCAGCCACGAGGTTTTTAGTTCTATATTCATTTAGTCATTTTTACAATCAAACATTTTTGAACATGTCTAAATAGAGTTTAAAACCCGTATTTGAGTGATGATGATGATTATAATTATTATTATTGTTATATTTTTGGCAATTTTGTTTTCATATTTTACATTTTCTCAATATTTTATTAAAAAACAATAATTATTCATTTAATATTATTGTTTTTTAAATAGTAATATTAATAATATTTCATCAAAATTAAAATGCGTCTAGTTTAAAACCTGTACTTGTGTGTGTTTTTATATTTTTTAATCATTTCTTTTTCATATTTTATAACATTATTTATATAATATAATTATGATATGATATAGATATGATATGATATAGATATGATATAATTAAGATATGATTTGATATGATATAATTAAGATATGATATGATATAATTAAGATATAATTAAGATATGATATGAGGTTCATGGGACGTGAGAAGAGTGTTTACACATCAGCCAACGACCAATCAGTGCGGCTTTTCACTGCGCCAACTCTTCCAGAAAGGTGCTAAAAACATGAAGATTCCTTGTAAATACAAAGACGTCAGATAGCATCCTTCATGTCAGATCACTGTTATTGTTGGCAAGCCGATCTGAGATTCCTGAAGAAATAACTTTGATATTACTGTGGTGTTTTTGCCTTTGCTTTGTATGAAAAAAAAAATGCCTTGGGCTCCTGGTAAAATATTGCAGAGAATATTCAGAGTTTCCGAAGGCAAAAACTGAGCTGCTCTGAGATCAGTGAAAGGAAAGGCCATTATTTGTTCAAATATTATGTATTTTGGATAATATGATATATGATAACTACCAGTCAGAGCCATTTAACACATTATGGTGTTTAAATCCATTCACTAGATTTCCCTCTAAATTTCATCAGTCGTGCAGTTTTTCACTTTCTCAGCAATGGATCCTTTGTAGTGAATGGGTGCCGTCAGAGTCCAAACAGCTGATAAAAACATCACAATAATCCACACATCACTCCAGTCCATCAGTTAACATATTGTGACCTTTGCACATCTAATGTGGTATAATATGGTAAATGTGCTATCCTAATAAAAATTTAAAAAAACAGCAAAATTCTACAAATTATTGATACGAAATCAGTCATTTTGATAAAAAAACAAAAAAAACAATCAGTCAGTCAATCCTGGTGGGACTGTTTTATGCAGAAAATGTGAACAAAAAATCTGTCCGGGCCTGAAAATTGCATCGAGTCATTGAGCATTTGAATCATTTTAAATAATTGATTTATTACAAAGTCAATCTTCAGATATTTTTTAATGTCTCTGACACATTAGTGTTTAAATCCAGTCTGTAGACTTCCCTCCCATTTTATTCAAGAAAATGTGAACAAAAGTTGAGTGGATTATGGGCCTTATAATGACATAGAAATGACTCTGAACAAATGAATCAGTGATCATGTGAATAATTCTCTCTGACTGAACACTACAGTGTCAACCATATATTTCAGGCCTAAGTTCAGTGTTCTTCCACTCAAAATGGCAATTCAACCGTTAACGTCTGATGTGTCATTTAATTATCTGATGCACTTTCTTTGTTCTTCAAGACTTTAAGTCTTATAATTACGGTAATTCAGTCATGACGTAAGATGCAGCATTTTAAAGTTTTTAATGTTCAGTAATTGGAGTGAGTGCATTAAGATCGTTTGATCTGAGAAAATTAAATGCTGTTTTTAGTGCTCCACCGCTAATTCGCCTCAAACTCACGTCTCTGGCCGTCTCTCAATGAAGTGTCTCGGTGTATTTCGCCGTGTAGACGGGTTTAACAGGCTTGTATTTGTTTTAACAGGCCGGGGGTGATAGCGCAGACCCTAATCGCCCACTTTTTCATTCCCTTCAGATGGCTTTCCCATCGTTTTTTCCGAACGCTTGTGTGAATTTCTTCCTATTTCCGATCATTCAGCTCCATTTGTCTTAAGCCGGGAGTCTCGGGAGAGATTAGAATAACGGTCGTAATGATAAAAACGGCAGGGAGTTTCAGGCCGGCCTCAGAGGGTGGGCTACACCTCGGCCTGGAAAAAAAGGCTCATTGTATCAGCACTTGAGCAGTTTACTGCTCTTTTGGGTCCATTTCTTAGCCCGGACCTGACCCGGCCGTGATGAATGGGACTGCAGTCCTGAGGCTCTCCTGATGCAGTCGCAGAGGTCTTAGACCCTCGGTAAGTGATATGACTCGCTCTCCCTGGACTGTTTTTGAACTCGAACATGATTTACGTCGCGTTTTTTGAGGTCTACATCAAGTGACCTTCGCATTTTATACAGCTTTTCCCAAAGCTTCGTTCTCAGTTTGCTCTGATTGCTCCCATAAAGGCCTTTAAAATGACTTCTCAACGCAAGCGTCATACGCTACTTGTGAAAAGCGTGGAAGATACAGTCATGATAAAGTGGATTTACGAGATTTAAACTGTGAAAATACGTACAATACGTAGTATGTTTTTTTTAATGTTTTTCAAAGAAGTCTCTTCTGCTCCGCGAGGCTGCAGTTATTTGATTAAAAATGTAAAACAGTAAAATTGTGAAATATTATTGCAATTAAAAATGACTTTTTTTTTTGTTTGAATGCATTTCAAAATATAATTTGCAATTATTATTGCAAATGAAAATAATAAAAATAGTTGCGACTTTTTAATTCCACATTATAAATAAGATATTTTTATGAGTTTATATCTTGTAATAAAAAAGGTAATTGTGACTTTTTGTTTTGCATTTTTTGCAATTTTTGCTTTTTTGACTTTTTTCTCGCAATT